GTCAATTTTCGACAATTGGCGATTGAATCTTTGCGAGAAGTAGTCCCACTGACACGTGTTATTAAGGTGCTTTTAGGCACGTCAAATGCATCTGCAGCCTTTCGGATTGATGGAAATTGGCCCTTTTTATAGGCCTGAAGGGCCAATTGAAGACGTTCCTCCCTAGATATATCGGCCATTAGGTGGTGGTGGGTGGTGGTGGTAGTAATAGTCAAAAACTCGGTGTTGGTGTTGTGGCTGACCAGCTCGGTGGTGTGACCAGCTCGGTGGTGGATTACGTTAATCAGTATCTCGTTGCTGTATCCCATACCCCATATTACTCCGTATTGACAATCATCGCCCCACGAAATACAATGGCCCCACATTCTCCGAAGGGAGGGGGATGCCTTCCCCACGTTATTAATAGCTCTCCTGACGTCATTGGCGGAGGTTCATTACAGTAGTATAATTGTTTCCTTGATAATGCTGTTTATTAGCAGTTTGATGGATGGCAATAGCAAGTAAATATATATAGATAAACACCTATTTAGTTATAAGATAGATACTACGCGTAGTTTGAGATCCATTGACCGATCAACAAGCACAGCAGCTGTGCTATAAATTTACAGCAGGTACATTAATTGACGGATAGACGAATGGACCTATCTCTGAAATTATTGAATCCATATAGTATACTAAAATAAATGACAGATATTCATTCTATTAGAACTATTAGCTGTGTGCTGGTGAGAAAGAAGAAAGAAAAAAGGGACAAAAAAAAAGAAGGGACACTCATCTTGGCAAGCTTGCCATCTATATATTACATGTTATAACGATGTAACCTGTAGCCTGTAGCCTGGACTTTAGAGCTGATAGGTAGGATATGATGTCCCAAGGCAGATATCTACCTATCTGCAAATCCTGGGTATTTAATGGCAGTGGGTAGACATTTCCGAACGTTGCAATTTGCTGATGACGCCGTTTGCGGTGTTTCACCATGGTTATGGTAAATTTAAGCTCTTAAGAGAAGTTCGGCGGCGCAGAAAAAAAAAGATGATGATAAGAGACGAGGCTAGAATACAATACTATTACCTGAGATCATAGCTAGAGTCTGCTTGATGAAACTGTCACCATATGTAGGTACCGTATGTAGGTAGGGCTGCATTAGGCGCATCTGCTGCGTACCCTTTTTTTTTTTAAAAAAAAACTCGGTCCATATCGGAGGTTATAATTTATAACTTTCTTGATAGTGTACTACACGAGGCACTAGACTCATACGTTTAAGCCAGTATGCAGTATGTGTAGTAAAATGCAAATGTTTAGAAAAGACAAAAAAAAAAGAATAAAGAAAAAAAAATAACCATTGCAATTATTAGGCGCAGGCTCAGTATTCACGGATAATGATCTCGATGACTCAGAAATCCATGTCGTTTTTTTTTTTGCCTCACAAGCCTTCAAGTTTTCAACGACTCGCTCCGCTCGTGACTCTAGGCTTGAAGGGGAAAGCATACCTAGGCTTACCTAGGCCTATAGATGTTCCAGACCTTTGGCCCTCCGCAAGCCTATAAAATAAATTCCTAGGGCATAAAGGGCCCCAAGTCCTTATGCAGCACTTAGTAATGATATTTAGCTAATCTGCATGAGCTAGAGGCGGTAGGTAAGAGGTAAGGATGTTGGTGCTTAATAGCGATACCATTCCCTATGACCGAAACTTGATGAGGAAACCTCGAAGGATCCTCCGTTTACATACATTACATAAATAAGATGGATCGATCATCCATACACGTGATTGACTAATGTCATGGATAAAATCCATGTGATCTAGGGATGGATTATCTATATGCTCCATTGACAAAGGTAGGTACCACCGACGAAGGTACAGTACAACGTTGTACCACGACAAATGATAAAGGAGGTAAATGGATGTAAGTGAAATCCCATGATTTTGCTTTCTATAAACAAAACGGATAATAGGAAAATCGAAATCATATAATAAGGTTCTACTAATCAGATCAATCGGCTCAATCGGATCAATCTAGGGTTTTTATGCAGATCATGATATATTATTTTACTATACTCTACAAATAAAGCCTATAAGGAAACTAATACGAATTCTTTGTGTTAAACAAACTCTGATCCTCTTGGCTACCAACTATCTAGATTGAGTGCGAATATAACAAGAAATCATGACAGGCAAAATTCCGCCAGTCTCATCACTACTGCACCGGAAAACCATATCCCACAAGCACAGCCGGCTCGTTGATGTTGTGGTGTTGGTAGCTTATCACAGTCAGCATCTTGACTCAGACACCATGAACAGTCTGATTAATCCTCACCTGAGAACGCCCACACCGCCAGGTTCCAGCATCATAGAGAGTGGAAAGTCCATTGGATACTTGAGCCAGCGCTTCACAAACGCACGAAGTAAATGGCCATGGGCGACGAGGACGACATCGCAGGCCTTCTCTCCGTGCATATTGCCTGCGTGGAACGCATGGATCTCCTCAATGAGACTGTCAAGACGGTCTGTGACCTGTTGAGGCGATCTAAAAAGTTCACTCATTAAGCAGGGAACCCTCGAATTTAAAAGCTAGAAGCCAACTCACTCTCCTCCTTCACACCCGTCTCTCCATATATCCCATGGTTTGTCCGCGTCAAGACCATGGTCCTTTCTCAACGCTCTGATCTCTCTGGTCAAGAGCCCTTCGTACAGCCCATATTCCCATTCCGCGAGCTTGATGGTCTCGGATACCTTGTTCGCATCCTTCAGCATCTGCTTGGCGGCATCGCTGAAAGCGAGATCAAAAGTCTGCAATGCTCGCTTGCGCGGACTAATGAAGACATGCGCCAGCTTGGATGGGTCAATGAGCTTGCCCGCGCCGACAATCATCTTGCCCGTTGCAAGGACTTGTTTTGCGCCGTTCTCTGTCAGCGCGAGTTCTGTAGTGCCCGTGTACCGTCCATTCTGGGTCCACTCGGTCTCGCCTGTAAGTCGTTAGTGCCGTTTTACTCTCCTGGCTTTGTGCCTGCATACCATGCCGGTAGAGAAATACCCGGGGGGTCCCTGCGTCTTTGTCAGACATGATGAGATAGTCAAGGACTAGACGTTCCTGGAAATGGCAACTCGGATAATGTCAAGCTTGGGAGGAAGGGGTTGAACTGGCAAAGAAGACGAGGCTTTGTGTACCTATGAGTCGTTGCCGGTTATGTGTCATCTTCCTTGTCATTCCATCATGACTTAGGGTGTGTTTTGACGCTGTCTAGAGCAGAAAGAAGAAGACTTAAAAATTGAGAAATTTTAATGCACATAAAATCAACCTGATATATGTGTCCATACACTCTCTATATATATCTATAACCAAGGAAAATCAACATGAGTGCTGAACCCAGCCCTAAGTCCTACCCTGACTGATCGCCACTCGACTCCAACCGCGCCAAACGTCATCACGCACGCCATGACCAGCCCGATGCGGAACGCCTGCACCAGACAGTCGTTGTAGTCCGCCAACACGGTCGTCAGGTACTGCACCGGGATGTAGTTGCGCAGTTCCGTCGTGCCGGCTGCCATCACAGCTGCGGCATCGATGCCCGGGACGTCCGCGGCCAGCTTTGAGAGAAGCTTGTTGTCGAACACGCTCTCTGCCACCGACACGAAGATAGATCCCCCAAGAAGCTGACAGAACATGACCAGTGCGGAGCCCATGGCCACCAGCACCTGCGGCACGACCGTCTGTACGGCCAGGATGGCCTGCTGGATCCCGAATCCGCTCCCGACACTGTAGAGGATCTGGAATCCGATCCATTCGCGTGTGGGCGTGTCGACACTGAACGTCGTGATCAGGCCACTCCCTACACAGGCGAAGACCAGCGACAGCCACATGAACGCGGCGTAGTATCCGATCCTCTTCACGCCGACACCGGCAATGATGGTCGCAACCACCTGCGCCATGAGGAATGCCAGGGTGTGCACCCCGGAATCGACTGCGCTGACATCCTTGATGACCTGGAACCAGGTGGGCAGGAAGTAGACGAAGATGAAGAAGGTGGCCCCGAGGCAGAAGACGAACATCAGCGCGAAGGGCACGGTCCGGGTGGTGGTGAGCAATCGATGCGGGATCAAAGCGTGTTCGCCCATGAAGATCTGCTCGACAGGGAAAGCGATGGCCAAAACGCCAGACACGACGAGCAGAGCGATGATGCGGCCGCTGGACCATGAGTATGTGCCGCCACCCCACTGGAGAGCAACGAGCAGGCAGATCACGGTCGGAATGAACAGGACGATGCCTGGGAGGTCAAGCTTCCTGAGCATCTCCAGGACGGTTTGCTCCTTGCGGCGCGAGGCGTGGACGCGGAAGAAGAACATGACACCCACAAATGTGAGGAAACCAAGCTATCGACCCGTCAGTGCTAGTTTAATGCAGTATATTTATTGACGTAGCTTACCGGAAGGTTGATGGAGAAGCACATACGCCAGGCGAATTTCTCAGTGAAAGCACCACCCAGGATTGGACCGACAATGGAAGCCAGACCGAACATAGACGAAAGGCTGCCAAGGTAGACGGATCGAGCTTCGAGCGGCACGGTGAGGGCGATGATGATCAGCGAACCCGAGAAGAGACCGCCA